AACACACACACACCATTTACTATTATGTGTTACAGTCTCCTACCTGTTGAATGCCATAGGTCCAGCCCTGACGGATGCGGTCTCTTGCCCAGACATTATGTGCATTCTCAGCCAGTTTGTCCACCATAGCTTCCTGGGTGGAGGTCAGTTTGATGTGACTCAAGTCCAGAGGAGCAGGTTTATAACCACTGGACAACTCATAGCTGTACAGACAGAGTTGAACCACTGCATCATTAGCTAGCCTGCTGCCCAACAACCTCCATGGGCTGATGTCCAGAAGTGTCTGTTGCTCTAATCATAATAATATTCTTTTTGTTCTGTCCTATTCATCATCTCATAAAATGTCCCATTGTACACACTGTATGATGACATCAAACTACAATATCACCCTGCGTCCCAGCCCTGGCTGAGGTGACTTACGTTGGTGACAGTTTCATGCTCTTCACTTTTTCTACAGCATGTTCATCTGCGAGACCAACATGGCAACCCAGAGCCAGGAGAGTTCTGTAACACACACATACACACACAATTACGCACGTTATGTAGTGTTACGTGCAATTTATACTTGTCTAGAAAGGCAGGTAGACGTCACCGCGTACCTACACAGAAAATGGTTTATGGGTAAACGTAGGTCACTGATGGTTGCAGACAGTCTGATGTGCACACCTCATATCAGTGTAAAGAAGAGAGCAGCAAGAAAACATTACAGCAAAAATAAAATAAAATAAAATAAAAATCACAAAGTTGTCAAACCTGTTGTGAATGAGGTTCAAGCTATCTGTACAATTTTACTCCAGGTTTGCTCTCTATTAAAATTAATATCTGATATTTTCACAGATGCGTGAACAAAACAAAAAAGATTTTTTTCAAATCAGACCACATCCATTCATACAGTACATCTGTCATTGGGAGACGGCTGTATAGCTGCTATATTTCTGCAAACGTTTGCGTTCTACCTAAGGGGCGCTCACACATCAAAGTACAGAAAAGATCATGAAGAAGAAGAAGAAATCAGGAAATGGAAATGGTAGAGATTTTGAGCCCAGCTAACAGACTTTTATATATGACTGACTTGCAAAGGGACAAGATTGTTTTCCAGATATTTCTCTCAAGCTGTGAAGTTAGGTTTTTCTTTGGATGATAAAAATGAACAATTTTTATGAGATCATTTGATTTTGGCTATATGTTATCTTCACAAATGCAGATTTTTCAAATGCACCACCCTTTTTTCTGCCTTTTTAATGAACTGATATGTATGCCAAATCCTTAATCACTTGGAAGCAAAAACATCAGATTTGGGTCACTTCAGCAGGTAATGTGAATATGACCTAAATGTCCTATCTTATGCTGCTCACTGCACTGATGTATTACTTGAGAGTCTCCAGTGACATCTGTAGGTTGTAACTTCGTTCCTGTTCAGGAAGCTTGGAGAACTCCACCAGACATGGGTGTTGACGCTTGTTATCATCTCGCACCTGAAGCACACATATAAAAAGTAAAAGTAGTTATGGGAGTCTGTTGCTTGGGCTTGGCCTGTTGTAGACTGTTGTTAAATATATACAGTAATGACCCTGAGCTGGAAGAAGTTAGGTGAAAGTGCTGCATACTAAGTATTAAGACCCAGCCAGTTAGGGAGGCATCCTTAAAAGCCTGAAGGTGGTGAAAATGTTTTACAACAACAGTCTCACAGAGATACCTGTGGTGATTTCAAAAGACGATGGTGCCTCATATCTAGGTGGGGAGATAAAGCTTCTGCTTTCACATATTTGTATAAACTCAGGTGTACAATGTGTGGCCATCTCTCAATAATCAGCATTTCATAAACAGCACTGAACAGTTTGTCTGATACTCACTGCGCCATGGGTCCAGCCCAGTTCTATCTTGTTCATCACCCACAGTTCATGGATGTTTTCTGCTAGTTTCTCCCTGATCCTCTCCAAGTGAGAAGGCAACACAATCTATAAACAAAAAAGAACATTCTTAGGAAACAAAACTTTATGGATACGTAGATAGATAAATAGACTTGTAGACAAAATATACTCAAAGGTCATGATAACTTCTAGGTGCTCTGATGTCATGATTCTGTCCCACCAGCCTCCGGTCCAGGCTTTTATTGTGAGATCACATCCTGCTTTGTTCACCTCAGTTTTGGACTCTTTACATTAATCAGCTGGTATTGTTTTCACCTGCATCTCATCGCCAAGGCAACACCTGCTACACAAGCATATAGGCAACTTCCCCGCACCAGGAAGTTGCCAAATTGTTATAGACTCCAGCTCTGACTTTCTAGCATTCTTTCTCTGCCTGATTATCTTGTTCTGACCCCGGATTGCCTGTTGACCACCGTGTTTTGCCTTATTCCCCCAGAATCTGATTGCCTGCTGTGTACCGACCCTCTATCTCCTCCCTGACCTCTCTCTTGTTGATGTTTACCGGCGCTGACCTTGGACTGTATTATCGACCTGATTTTGATTCTGGACTTGTACTGCTGTTATTAGTAAAAAAAAACTTTTCTCTACCTCTGTTCGTCTGGCTATATAATTGAGTTCACAACAAACATTATTTGGCAGTTTCACCTGCCAAACCTGACACTCTGAGTCTTGAGAATAATAATAAAAAGCCTTTAATATTACATAGCTGACACCAAATTGTTTCAGCCAGAGGCCTTTACAAGTCTCACAATAAAAAATGGTGTGCCACAAGGTCAGTTGAGCTTGAGAATAATATCTGACCAAGATTCAGATTATAATTTAAAATTGTTAAAATGCAAAAAAGGTTTTTAAATTGAGACTACAAATTAAAAATAAAATTAAACTAATAGGTCTGATTTATTAAACTAAAAGCATTTTTGAAAACCCTGCTGTTGCTGAGAAATATTATTTCTGAGGCCTCAGAAATCAACAAGATCATCTATAATAGCTGGCAAATCCTAGTGACACCAGTGGCATATTTAAAGAAACACCCATCATATGTGGAAAATGGGCCCCAAGAGTTAATAGAGTTACACATATTTATTGCCCCCAGATTCCAAGAATACATGGTTAGCACAACGACCCAGTGAATGTTGATACAACATTTGCAGAAACATCAAACAGGCAAATGTCTTCAAGATATTGTCACCAACAAGATGTTTTACTAGTGGATTCATAAACTGCAATACCTCTTTTGTTGTTTGTCCCAGATCAATAATACACAATTAAATGTGCCAAATAATTGGAGAGCATTCATATGGAAGCTCAGTATTTGAGTTAAATGATATTTACCCATTATTTGGCCCCAGAGAGGGGGGTATTAGGCCATGCCAACATAAGTCTCCAGAGCCCCACAATAAGCAACACCATTTTCCAGAAATAACCTTCCCTTAGCACAAAGCATCCCTGAATCCTATCCTCACCCATGCAATGAGCAGACATGTGGCTTGACACACAGCTTCTGCATTGTCTTTACTCGGGTTAAGCAGCGGCTGGTCCAGCTGGCTTGTAATGGCAGTCACCTCTGAGAGCCGGGTCTACAGAGTGTCCAGCTACTGACACTGTTCTGCCAAGACTATCTCACAAAAGAAGACTATTAACGATTCCAGTGAGTCTGTAGCTATATTATCACTAACACCAATACAAGTTCTGTGTAGGTATAGTAGTGAAGACAAGTTCACAGGAATTACAGAATGCCTTTGATATTCTTCTTTTTGCATAGAATCTGCGTATACACCCAGAAAAACAAACTGTTAATCTACATTTCAGACATCACTCTTCTGTTGCTTTCCTTGTCTTTACTGACACAGGTAAAATTAAACCAGGCATTATGAAAATAAACATCATACAGTAATAATGAGATGAGTTTTATAAAGATACTGAATTACTTCACAAGTGAATGACTAAGTCATACATTTTTTCTGTATTTATTCATATGGTTATCTATTTCATAATAAGATTTTATATTTGTACGTTTTTATTAATTTAAGAGTGAACAGATTGGTCTCCAAAAAAAGACCACTCCTAAAAATGAACTCACTGGAAACAAGCCTAACAGTAGTCCCAGTACAGACTGAGGAAAGCCATCACAGCATACGTAGATGAAAATTTGAACTCCCCATAACGCTAAATCAGTGGGAGACCTGAGCTTGTTTCTCTGCAACGACACGGTCCCATCTGGGGGTAATAGGAGACAATGACACCCGAAGTGTGTTGCTTATGTTCAGTCTACTCCGTTGTTTTGTTTTGGTTGCTGTCACTGCAGAAAAACCACACAGATCACACAGATAGGATGTCGGAAATGGCAACAGGGTTTTCAGTGCTGTGGTGGCGATCTCAGGGTATTCTGTCATGACTTTAATCCAGAACACCGACAGAGTTGTGGTCTCGAACATACTTTTAAGGCCGCCGTCATTTGCGATCTCCAGCAGTTGATCTTCTTCTTGCACAGACATGCTGGATTCACCTGGTTTGTTGACAAATGGGTTGCGGATCCATTCCTTGGCAGTTCGTGGGTCCTTTGTGGTTGGGAAGTAGCGCTCGAACTCTTTTAAAAGCAAAGACAGGTGATCGTGCACCAGCTGGGAGAATGAAGGCTCAGGCTCAGTCTCACCCAAAATCCCCACTAATGTTTGAAACATGTCCAAAATGCCGCTGTTGACGCGCCGTCCCCACAAATCCAGTTTGGCTTTAAATGCAGCTACTTTATCTGCCAACTTGAAGACAGTTGTCATTT